TTAAAACAATATGTAAGTATATATATATATATATATATATATATATATACTTATAGTATATAAGTATATAAGTATATATATATATATATACTTATATAGTATATAAGTATATAAGTATAGTATACTTATATATATATAAGTATATATATATATATATACTTATATAGTATATAAGTATATAAGTATATATATATATATATACTTACATATTGTTTTAAATTGGTATTCTGTTAAATTGATTTTGACGAAAGCTTCTATCATCCATCTTGATTCATTCATCCAAATGTTTTTTTTAATATAATCAGTACTGTATGATGCTACAACACAGTAAATTGTTGGGAAGGGTTATAACATGTGTGTGTGTGGTGTGTGTGTGTGTGTGTGTGTGTGTGTGTTTATAATCTGACTCTTTAGAAGTTTGACCCTAAAAAGCCTAGTAGAACTTGTACACCGAACATAGTGTTTTTGGTAGCTCAGATAAATCATGAAATGTGTGATTTAGCACTTCCCATGATTACTGTGATTCACATATATTTGAATTCACACTGATACTCTGTGCTAAATTCAGTTAGACGCCAAGATTTAGAATTTGGGAGCATCCACAATATTTTTCCCTTTTCTGTTTATCTGCTTGTTGTGATTGGTGATTACCAGCAGCTGCTGTGCACAGTGGCTGATAATAAGAGCTGTCTAGTGTTCTGTTTTCCAGTTTCTCTTGTTTCAAACCATCCATGATAATCTGCTTATCTGCATTTGGCTTTGACACAGTAAGATTATCTTTACCCCTGTGAATTTAGTCCTTCTGTCATGGATATAAATCCTTATGATTGGACACCCAGTGAAGCCGGATGGATCAAGAAAGACCAGGCCTCATTCTGGCTCTGTAATGGAAATTGGGTTGCATCCCTGGTAGAAAATGTTTACAGTTTGATTGTCAAACATGCTTGTCTGCCTGTTCCTGCACTGTGGACTGGTCCTTGGGAATGAAAGACTGTCTCTTAATAGTGTT